TTCGGCCACAGAGAGGCCCCTAAATAATAGATAACTAACAATTATGGGTGAAATTTATTGTTGCAGGATTTTTTTGCGTTGTTTTTAAATTCAGATAAAGCCAATGCAATATTTTTAACAATGTTACTTTAAATTACTATTAATTGAAATATAATGAGAATATATTCATTATTTCAGGATATCAGGTTTTGGCGGGAGATATCACACTATATACGACACCTGTGACATGGGAAACTGCCATGAGCGTCTGCAAAAGTCAAGGACAAAATCTTGTACAGATTTATAGGGAAGCCAAGAATCATCTTCTCAATGAACATCTGTCGTCCAACATGTAACTATTGTTATTATTATATATCAATGGCCTGGAAATGGACGCAGACGAGAACGGATCTCAAAGACTGCCCACTTTTAAGACAATATCGCTTGAATCAACATCATTGCTATTTAATATGAGTCGAGGTCTGATACTTAGTTCTGTATTAAAAATGAGATTATCAAAAATATGTATACAAATCAGTTATCATTTATATCGATGAAATGAAATACATTTTGAGAATAAGATTTTTAAAATAGAGTGCTCCTCTTTTCTTCCGATACATTATTCATAACATGTTCCAACACTGGGCTTTGCTGTCATAACATTTTTATACCGGTGCTTTGCTTTTGCGTCAATTGGCATTTGATTTGCGCCAAAATAAACTTTCATTTGCGCCACAAATCATATTTCATTTGCGCTGAAAAATACAGGTAAATACAGGTAAATACAGGCGTATCCATCTGATGAGTTAAGCCTTTTATAACTATTTACCAAAGTTCAAATGGAGTAGATAAAAGCCATCATAGACAACCGTACGGCCTTCAAAAATCCATGTACTATAGCCGCTATAAACGGCCCCAACATGACAAAATATGAAACAATCCAATTCTGAGAAAACTAATGGCCTGTTCGTCTCAGAATTGACAATGTCCATCTGGACACCTCAAACATGTGAACACCATATAATTTTAAACCTAAGAGACGCTCAGTTTTATTTTTAAAAAATAGTATGAACTTACTTACACAGGAGGGAATACTTTAACAAAAATCTTATTCATGATGTACATGTAGCAATGAATATTTTAAACTTTTCCGTTATATATTACCTATAAAATGGCGCAATACCTTTGTGGCGCAATTGAAAGATTGGATTTTGTAAAAATTTGCGCATATGCAATGTGCCCATTTACACATGCTTATCATACTAAGACTCAGAAATCAACCAATCAAAACATGGATTTGGTGTATCGAATACAAATTTTGAACTTCGAGTTCTGAGTAAAGTGACCGAGGCTCCTGAGGGGAAAATTCGTTTAGGAAGCAACCATTTAACTTCAAACAGGGGGGGGGGGGGATGGTTTTTTGTCCGAGCCGGAAATTTGTTAGTTTTTTCAACGCTATCGATCAATTTGGTTTTTTTTTCAATATCTAACACTATAAGGTATGGGGGAAATCTAGATTCAGAATATATTTTTTCATTGCTTGACCAGAATTTTTTTTTCATCAAATTGGGGATCAGAATATATTTTTAGAAAAATCCATAACTCCCTCCCCTTTTTGAAGTTAAATGGTATTTCTCTTATCTAGCTTGATTTTGGTCCTTTGTTTCAGGGGAATGCACATCTGGATAGGACTGTATGCTCCAAATCCAAGTGATTATACTAATCGAATATGGTCAGATGACGGATCTTCGCCAATTTATGAAAATTGGTCCTCATCAAAAACGGAAGGTGCTGGGAAAATATGTACTTATACCGTTGTACAGAATGCGGGACTGGAATGGAATTTGGCAGATTGTGATACTGAGAAGAAATCGTTTATGTGCGAAGAAGACAAACGTATTATTTTATTTAAGAATTGAATGCTTCTTTTTGTAAATTTTTTTGGGTGTTAAAGCCTTGACCGAAGTACATTTTTATGAAGCGCGGATGCGCTTCATTCATAAAATGTGCGCACGGCCAACGCTTTCACAATCCTTTAAAATTACTAAAAGGAGAATTCAATACATATAATTACATTTTTTTTTGCTATGATCACGAAAACACGATCATTTCTCTCAAGTTTTTCTTCTATTTACCTGTGCACTTTATTGTGGAAGCTCGTGTCATCATTAATGTTACATTTCATTTTAAAATGAAAGTTGATTTCAGAATGACACGAGATGGCTGTTAGCTACTAATTTAAATAAAGTTAAACCATGAACTATGACTGCACAATTTATCAATATGTCATGGATACTTTATGATATGTAATGGTTTTCTAGTTGATAAAAGATGTTTTCTGACTTTTTTCAAAAATTATTGCGCTGTAAGAATCATTATTAGGTGTAATAGATGATTTTTCATTACCTATCGCTAATTATCCATTTCTAGATGGTGACGTTCTCTTGTCACCATCTTATGGTGTTTATATATCTCAACTTGTACGATTCGCTCGTGTATGTAACAACGTATTAGATTTTAGCGAGAGAAATTAATGTATTACTATAAAATTATTACACCAGGGTTTTCGATATCATAAACTAGTCAAAACATTTACTAAATTTTATTATCGGTATAAGGACATCATTCGTAAATATAACTCAACATGCAGACATCTTATACGTTCGGGTATTTCACATCCAATCTTTTATGGTAATATTCTTTACAAAGCACAAAAATGTCAGTATTCACCTCAAAAGCTAACAAAACCTTTAAACAGACTTATTAAGAAGGGATATAGTTACGATACTATTGTCAGGTCATTAAAGATTGCATATTTTGGCTTTAATATTGATTCACTTATAGGGTCTTTGCATCGGAATTAAACATATTTATTCTAAAACCAGTTGTTGGCATGACACGGGTTATGTTCTTCTCATATATTTTATGATGGTATAATACTAAACCCCTAACGGGAGGGATTATGCCTGATAATCATATGATGAAGACATAATCTTTCAATCAGTTTAATTGAGGTCTGGAGCTGGCATGTCAGTAACTGCTAGTAGTCTGTTGTTGTTTATGTATTATTGTCATTTTGTTTATTTTCTTTTGTTTCCTATTCCGACATCGGACTCGGACTTCTCTTAAACAGAGTTTTACTGTGCGTACTGTTGTACGTTTGTTTTTTTCTACATTGGCTAGAGGTATAGGGGGAGGGTTGAGATCTCAAAAAACATGTTTAACCCCGCCGCATTTTTGCGCCTGTCCCAAGTCAGAAGCCTCTGGCCTTGGTTAGTCTTGTATCATTTTTAATTTTAGTTTCTTGTGTATAATTTGATGTTTAGTATGACGTCCATTATCACTGAACTAGTATACATATTTGTTTAGGGGCCAGCTGAAGGACGCCTCCGGGTGCGGGAGGTTCTCGCTGCATTGAAGACCCATTGGTGGCCTTCGGCTGTTGTCTGCTCTATGGTCGGGTTGTTGTCTCTTTGACACATTCCCAATTTCCATTCTCAATTTTAATACCACCATTGATTTTCCCCTATTAGTCTTTGTTAAATTTGCACTTTTCAAAAACATGTGCAGAATTTATCTTTATTTCAAATAAAGAAATACTTGGCATGAATAAAGTTTTATCCTGTCCAGTACCATAGAAAAAATTTCACATAACATTTCATTGCATATAAGAAAATAACCATCACTGGAAGTTAATTAACCAATCAAATGTTCATCACTTTTTTTATCTGTGTGCCAGCTTTAGTAACCATGTAACCTCAAGTTTCCAAAATATTCTATAGAAACACCAAATAAAAAAAATAATGGTACCTAGAAACACCTAAGATATATTTTTATGACCCAGAAATTTTTTACTGCAATGAAAATGTAGGATTAATTTCCTACAACTGTCAAATTCAAGGCAATATTTTTTCGACCCTTTTTCGTATGCAACCGGATGTGACGTACTATGATTTGGTGGTATTACACCTTTTACAGTTGATACTAGTTACTACTTTATGAGAGAGAGACGAAATATATCAATTCAAACTCATGTCGAAAACAAACGGACAACGCCATTGCTAAAAACGAAAAAAGACAAAGAGACAACCAAACAACAGTACATAAAACACAGCATAGAAAACTAAAGACTGAGCAACACGAACCCCACAAAAACCTTGGGGTGATCTAAGGTGCTTCGGATGTGCTCAACATGTGAGACCCGTAGTATTTCTCATGTAAGTGATAGGTCTAATTCGGAGGGTCACATTCGGAGAACTGATATTTTTTGGAGACCGGAATCTATTCCTACTTTTCCCGAAAAATATGGAATCAAAACATTAAAATGTAATTGATAAATAGACTGGTTCCCTGTCCTTTATCTGTTTGGCTCTGCTATACCCGTATGTTGCAAGGGAAAGAACCAGCCTAGATAAATTGTTCCCCTCTTACTCTTCAACAAGCTTTATTTTTTAAATGACATAATATATATTTTATTAAAGAAATATAAATAGGTTAAACATCTGTGCATTAGTGAAGCATTATCGGTTTCGTTAAACGTATTTTATTCAGTTAATAGATATAACACTTTATAAGCGTGGTGCGTCGAAAACAGTTTTATGGATTCACCTTCAACAGGAACGATAAAACCCAACAATGTGAAGACAAAGGATGTTTAAGTACTTAAATATATCACGTGCTATGTATAGGCCAATAAGGACCTCAAAAGTAAACCAAATCCATCTGTCATATTTGCCTCAGGGAGTCGGATTCTTTGTGTCTTAATGCTTCAGTAAAAAAGATAATAAACATATGTTATAAATCATTTCAGTACCGGATCACTGACAACTTAGCTCGATTTTCGTTGATTTCATTTTAAATCTGTTGCAGGTATTTGTACTACTGGTGTTTACTATACTTGTACTACATGGCATTATGGGAGTTTTACCGGTAGTTATTATCTCACACCAGCAACTCCGCAAGACTGTGTTAACCTTTGCGAATGGATAATAGCAAATAATGGGGTTTGTTGGGGATTCGTAATGCGTGTGACGTCAAGTCCAAATGTATGTCGTACCTATGACGACACCGATGATCCTTACTACAACCTTATCAACCAACAAGATTCTGAAAATCATTATAACTACATCCGCAACTGTAACTTAACAAGTAATTATATGAATTTAAACTGTTTTCTTTACTCAATGTAATTTTTTCCTATCATTTCTTCATTATTTTAAATGTTCCTCTTCTTTTCATTGTTTTTATTAGTGGCACTTTCTTTCCTTTTTAAAATTTTATGAAAGAGAGGCGGATGGTACAAAAGGGATATTCAAACTCGTTAGTCGAAGACAAAAAGACAAACAACAGTCTACAAAACACAACATAGAAAACTAAAGACTGAGAAACACGAACCTAAACAAAAACCGGGTTAATCTCAGGTGCTCCGGAAGGGTAAGCAGATCCTGCTCCAAATGTGTCCATATAACATGATAAGGACAAGAACCACGATAATAAGATATGTCTTACGCTCAGTTTAAAAAATTGTGTTACATGCATTCTTATCGTGTTGCATATTTACATTCAAAACTTTAAAAGACGACCTAGGTTAAAGCTAAGACTAAACCATTAACGACATTAAATACTGCATATGGTCTATAGTCATGGTTTTTTTGGGGGATCAATTTGAATTTACATGGCAGATGATGATACATGCATAGCAGGAGACACTTACCCTGTCGACGCATCCGGTCTTGTTCCTTTCGGAATTTTTCAAACCAAATAATTCTACAAATGGAACTGTATTGAAAGGTCCAAAGGATTCATAATTGCAACCTTTTGGTTGACCTTTATGATTTTATTTGTGTCACTGACTATTGATTTGACCCAGTAGTAATTTTATTCTTTTTTTTCAAAACATACAAATACACCTGGTTTCAATATGCGTATTAAGATCGTATCTGCTTTAAAAGCAAAACTCTCTGGAACGAGACGATATTTAATAGATGGCTCGTGATTGCATGATCAGTCTTGTTTTTCTGTATACTCTATGGACATTTGAATGTTTCTTTTTATCGTGTTCTTATAGCATAGGTGTTACCTCTCCTTTTTCAAATAACAGTTTGCAATTCTTCGTTTCAGAATCTAATGCATTCCTGGTAATATTTTGAAAAGCGTACACAAAAACGTTGTGATTGGTTTTAAACGTTATAAACAATGGAAATTCAACCAATGACGTAACGTTTTTTTTTTCATTTGGTGTACGAACAATGAAATTACCCATAGTCCTTAAGATTCTGAAAAGGCGAATTGAATCTCAAGATTTGCTTGACTTATCTTATTCTTGGTTACGTTTCTTGTTGACTTATGTCAATTGACATGTCAAATTAACACGTCAGTTGACAGAATGCATTTTTAAATAAATATCATAATTAATTTTACAGTACACGTACGAAGTCACTGTTCAGCGTGTTTTCCAACCACGGAAGTAACAACTTTAACAGAAGACCCCACCACTGAAGTGCACACAACAACAGAAAACCATACCACAGAAGAACACACAACGACAAAAGACCACACCACTAGGGTACACACAACGACAGAAGACCACACCACTAGGGTACACACAACGACAGAAATAGGTGAGATGACAACAGAAGACCGAACTACAACAATAAAAGATGATACGACAACAGAAGACCGAACAACAGAGACAACAATAGAAAGTTTGATGACAGCAGAAGACGGAACAACAACAATGAAAGGTGGTACGACGACAGGAGAGAAAACTACACAGACAACAATATATAAATAACACATAGCTGAGAGGGTGATAGAGCAGATTGTTACCCCGAGAAAACATTGTCAACCGCGGCGAAGCCAAGGTTGACAATGCTTTTTCGAGGGGTACCAATCTGCTCTATCACCCTCTCAGCTATGTGTTATTTAATTTATTATACTGAATGTCCTATCATTATTGTCTTTTACAGAAGAATTTTATTTTAAAGTATAATGACAGACGTCACGTACATAACAACGTTACGGGTATTAGAAAAATCAACAGAAGTGAAGCAAGATGTTTTATTTTTTTATTTTGACAGTCAAATAATAGAATCTGAGCCAAAACGTAGATGTTAAGCATTGTCTTTAATAACTTGATGTAAATTCAATTCATTGTCCTTTAAATGATCGATTTTTGATTGGTCTGGACGAGAGGGTGACATTCAAAACAATTGTCACCCGCTCAGCCATGTGATAGAGTAAATTAACACCCTCGTATTAACCAATCAAAATATGGCATTCTAACGTGAAGTATAATTATACGTTAAACGGAGCAGGATTAAGTTAAATGTGTATCTTCTGACTCAATATAGTTAAAATGGTAAATAATAACTTGTTAAAACAGATGTGAACATGGCATTTGAACAGAGTTAAATAATTAAAATAATATCTCCAATAAGCTGCAATGCCATGTGTAAGGTCAATGGCCAATTAAGTCATAAAAAGTTCTCATTCAATAGAGACTTTCCCGTAAATTTCATATGTCACAATGGTTATGTTATAACGTAAAAGTAAGAACCAGTTCTTCGATGACGATGTTTACGCCGATTGACCTCGGGTCAACCGGTGTAACTCATTCATGAAAAACAACTCGAGATTGGTGTATTGCAAAAAAAATAAAGGGCCTACATTACATATTTTATAAAAAAAATAAAGAAAAAGGTTTTAAAACTATATGTTGTACGTAATATCAGATCAGATACAATACACATAGCTTCATAGTATATGATTTTTTTACAGTTTTATTTTTTGAAATATAATGTATATTTTCAGGCAGTTCTCCTTATTGCACGTGTACTTGTCAGAATGTAACTACCATATTGTCATTGGAGGAGAGTATTCAGGAAATCGTAAACAATATCAAAGTAGATAGACTAAAAATGTCATCTTACACTAGAAAACTTACATCTGCTAAAGATTCTCGACCATCCTCGGCAAATATTGGATATTTCGGAATAGTAATGCTGTCGGCTACAGTTGGTATGCTTGTGTTTCTAGATTTTCATAGATTGATTGACAAATGTTGTACTTTTTTCAAATCTAAATAAGACCTGCTATAATAGGCATATTATTCCAAGCTGAGAATGAACGATATGTGTAGTAGTACATAATGCTACATGCTTGACTGTTGATTGATATGTTGGTAGAGACTGCATAAGTACAATTTTAGCTGTCGAATTAGTTACAAATTATGTCCATAATTTTTGTTTATGGATGATTACATTGTTGAGACCGTTGTCATTCTGTAGAATGCACTGTGGAATTTGTGTAAAGGAAGATAACTTCAGGCATTTGTAGTGCATAAATTTGTAGCTTTCAAATCAACTATATTCTAAAAACAGATAATGTCAGGGACCATTGTGATGTGTATTCAACAGAAGTCAAATACCTAAATTAAATATTTGTAAGCTTCATTCATGTATATATATAGAATCACTTTCTCAAAAATTACATATACCTGATTGTTGCATGGACTTATACTTCGCTAGAGATAAGTGTACAATTTTGTACATTTACCTGTGTAGTGTCAATATCATAAAAGTTGAAACAGTGAAAGCTGAATGCTAATAAATGTTCATATTATAGTGCACATTTTTACAGTACTAAGTAATTGTTGCCGAGACTGTAAGCCAATTACCCCACATACCTTCATGCTCTGTAATCTTCAATTAAAACATAGATACCAGGCTTAAAATTATGTACGACTTTTGTCTACAAAAGGCTCATCAGTGACGCTCGCATCAAAATTTCAAGAGGCCAAATAAATTACGAAGTTGAAGAGCATTTCAGACCCGAAATTCCGATAAATTATAACAATGTATTTTTTTCCACTTCGTCGTTGTATCGTATATGTTGTTTATTAACTTTGGCATTATAATTGGACAATTATGACATGGTACACTGATCACCATAATGCAAGTACATTACAACGAAAACGTTGTCTTGAGCAGCCTGGAATACAGAAGTTGTTTCTGGGGAATGTTAAGGGTTTTTTTGTTGGTTTGTTTGGGTTTTTTTTGGTAAAAATTTTCAAGTGATTTTGTCTGGCGAACTAAAGAAATTGAGCAGACACATCTAGAACAAAATTAGTTTTTAAAGTAGTAGTTTGTAGACTGTTGTTTGTCTGTTCGTCCTTTTTTTTTGTCATGCTGTTGCCAGTTTCTCTTTTACCAATGAGTTCTGATGCTCGTTTTGGTATCTTTAGCCTGTTTTTTTAAAGTTCTTTGATATATGTACGTTATTTTTAATCATTGTTTCGCTTTTACTTGTGGTTTTTGTGACATAGACCGGTATGATACAGTGTGTGTAATGTGCGAATCCTGAAATGTCATTTTCACTGTATCCGTGATGAATTTCTGATGTAGAATGATAAATAAACAGACGACAAATTCATGATTTTTTAATAAAATAACAGATAATATATAATGTGTACTGTCTTTATAAACTCATGATATTGGTATGAGATGCGGACGGGTTTTCATCGCGCCTACAGCCATCCAGATGCAAAATTGATACGCAAATAGATAGATATTATGAAAAGTTCATGAACAGAGCGTGCAAGAGATTTCAACGTAGCAGTTAAGTTTCAGTTGTATAAAAATGTACCTTTAACATGATTATTAATGTTGTATAACTTAAAACAGGTTTTGTTATTCAGCTTGTTGATATTGAATCAAATTACACTATGTTGTTTTCGTTATGCGATTCATGTTTACTGTCGAATAATGATACTAAACTTTCATTTTCACTGTAGGGCGATTCATTTCTATTGTATATGCGATGCATTTTCACAGAAGGAAATTAATTAATTTTCATTATATTAAGTCTTAATTCAGCCGACTCTCTAACAAAATTTATGGAGTCAGAGTGATTATTTATGCATACTAAGTGAGTGAAAGTCTTGAGGTAATATGTCAATAAATTCCTGTAAAAATGGCATTTATTTCTAATATAGTCAAATCTATTTCCTCTAATATTTTGTCCAGATCCAGATCTATATGTAAGATAAAATGTATCCTTCCCTATGACACGCCATCATTGAATACATATATTTTGGAAAGTTACGCCAATCCACGTCACAGAAAAAGCAAAGTTTCTGTTTCGGTCTAAATCTAAATCGCATACTAATAAATTGAACGTAATGAAAGCTACTTTCCTAATGCTTGTAGTTTAAAGGTGCTTTGTTTGTATAAATGTTTGCTTAAGCATTATAATTAAGATTGAGCAAACATTTATACAAACAAAGCAAGCAAGCCAACCAAACCTTTAAACTACAAGCATTAGGAAAAGAGCTCTAATAGATGCATTTAAGATAATAAAGAGCATTCACAAAACGATCTTCATTTCACGATTAAATGAGTGGATACGTTTTCATCTTGTACAAACAATTGACGCTTTGATGACTGGATAATTGATATTTATCGTGCCATTGTGTATACATCTAATACAGTAAAGAATGTTCGAGCAACAGTCGAGTCACCTTAATTTTATGTTTGAATTTCTTATATGTTGGTGTTACAAATAAGCAAATACGCAGTTGTAAGAATACAAGGAAATATTGAAAACAGTTTATTATTACATGTTTAAATGGTTCTATACCACGTGGTATAACCACCGTACAGTTGATTCCGGACGTTAATCGCTACATCGCGAAGCGATGTTGGTAGATATACCGGTACCGTTCTTAGATATAAGAAGATGTGGTATGAGTGCCAATGAGACAACTCTCCATCCAAGTCACAATTTGTAAAAGTATACCATTATAGGTCATTATATTTTCACCAAAGACTAATTGACGTAATGTTCAGTTAAGTATTCAATATTTATGAAAACAAAGTTTACTGCTCCTAGCAGCATTGTATATCATTTATATTACATAAACACCATGTCACTATTTTAAATAGACGGGTCTGTGAGTTACTTGAAAACATCGCGAAACAAACACTCTGTGTAACTCAAACTTGATTAATCTACAAAAAAAAGCATAGTTGGTTGGCTCTTACACTAAATGAGTACGTGTATTTTGTGATTTGTTGTTGTTTAAAATACATAATGCGAATGAGAAACCCGTTGTTTTAATTGTTTTTGAAGACATTTACTTACAAAATTGACTTCACAATTTTGGCACTGTACGATTCATTAACATTGTAGTCAATAGGGTAGACATACGTATGACACGGCGTGACAAATTATTTTAAGCGAGTTCTATAACTTTGAAAGGAAAATTCTCCGTAGAAATACGTTACATTCATGAATGTTCTGCTCCAGTAAATTTTCGGATCCATGACAAGCTTATAGGAAACTCACCAACAATATTTGATTATACATGATATGAACGTGGTTATACACGTGTATAATCAAGTAAGAATCTACGACTATCATCAATAATAAAGTAATTTAAAAACTTTTTTGAGTTGTTGCATGTCAAAAACATATTAAAAAAACAACGAAACAACATCGCACCTCCAAAAATTCCACATCAGAAATGATTGCACTTACAGTGATAATTCATCGCATCTATAGTAAAAATGAATCGCATTCAGTTATCAATATTATGGATTCTACTGCTTTAATTACATCCTGTTATTATACATTAAAAAGGTATATTCTAATGAAATTGTGTTAAAACATACATTCAAACCAATTATTTTGTATTTTCAAAAAGTAAACAAACGCAGTTTTTCCCATCATCCTTTATTTTACAATAGACATACTCGCATACAACAGTGAAAATGAACTAACTGGATTCGCACT